ATGATTTGTACCAAAAGGTCAATGAATTAAATAGAGAAGCAATTGATAGAAACGAAGAAAAGTTGTCGTTGTTTTACGGGAAGCGCGACCAGTGGTGTCCACAAGATTACTGCCATCGCATTCAGCACTTGTATCCCAATTGTGATATAAGGCTTTGTTTGGATGATATGAACCACGCATTTGTTATGAATAGAGAGTCCACTGAAATGGTCTCACAATTAATTATTGATAAAATTGGTTTAATTCTTCATAATTCTTAGCAAATGAATAGTACTTTTTGTTTTTAAATGATTTACTTATTAAATTAACCATATTCTAACAACTACCATTGGCGCAAGTTATTTAGTATAAGTTATACAGTATAACTTATACTATAAGTATGTAACTTTAGTACAAACTTTGTACAATTCAAATTAAATTTGTAACTGCAAATTTGTGTTAGTGTTTTACTCTTATCGCCGGTAAGTTACTGGCCATCCCTTCCCACATAAGACAGGCAATGGACGGGCATTTCCAACCAACTCATTGATCGCAAATCCATATAAATTATAGGCTATAATCATTGATTAAATCCTACATTGAATGTATGAGATCTCTTGTCCCCACATAACGTATTTGTAACCAAAAGGGGACAAAACTAATGCAAACTAACGAAGTAAGTAAGTCTCTAACTATTATAATGACAATCAGAACCACATGTAAGTTATATTAGATTTAAGTATACTGTATACTATAATAAGTAAGTACTGTATATTGAATTATGTTATAGTTAGCTAATGATGTATTATTAACCGGTAATAATGTTGTAAACTGAATGGTGCGCTTCCTCTGCCCTCTGGTATAGAAGTGGATGAAAGCAAGTGTAGCATTGATGGAAACGTAGCCTTTAGTGACAGTGATTATACCCACCGGTAATATCACTACACGTGGTATTGATTCACATCATGACTGCTATTAACTACAAGACCCGTCACTTCTGGTCACGACTCTTGTCGGATGACTCTAAGGACAGACTTCTGAAGACGACAGTCCTGTTGTTGGCTGCGATCCTCTGTAAGTGCTGTGAATGCTGTGATCAGAGCTCAGTTAATGTCATGTCTTCCTCCACAGCGTTCTCGTGTCGCCTCTTTTCGGTGTTGAGGTTTGAATCAGTGATCCATGAATTTGATCCGTATTTCAATTACCGAACGACACGTTTCCTGACGGAAGAGGGTTTCTACAGCTTCTTGAATTGGTTCGACGACAGGGCGTGGTATCCATTGGGCAGAATCATCGGCGGCACGATATACCCCGGCCTTATGGTCACCTCTGCAGCCCTATATCATGGCCTCCAATACCTCAACATTCCGATAGACATCCGTAATGTGTGTGTCTTTTTGGCGCCACTCTTCTCCTCTTTCACAACAATTGTCACGTATTTGTTGACCAAAGAGTTGAGTGACGACGCGTCAGGTCTTGTGGCCGCAGCCATGATATCGATAGTTCCCGGATATATATCGCGATCAGTGGCCGGTTCTTACGATAACGAGGGAATCGCTATATTCTGTATGCTTTTGACATATTATCTGTGGATCAAGTCAGTGAAGAGTGGATCGGTGTACTGGTCATCGCTGTGTTCTCTGGCGTACTTCTATATGGTCTCTTCGTGGGGCGGATATGTATTCCTCATTAATCTCATACCACTTCACGTATTGGCTCTCATCATAACCGGTCGTTTCAGTCATCGTATTTACATCGCGTACTCAACTGTAAGACAATTGTATGACTCTTTGCCACCAATGAGTGATGATATGTGTGTTTCAGGTGTACTGTTTGGGCACTTTGTTATCGATGCAAATTCCGTTCGTGGGTTTCCAACCGGTCACCTCATCTGAACACATGGCGGCCGCCGGTGTCTTTGGTTTGTGTCAACTCTTGGCTTTCAACCAATTCCTCAAATCAAAACTCTCGCAACAATTCTATGACATTTTGTTTCGATCTCTGGTATTGTTGATTGGTTTCGTTGCCCTCAGCGCCGGTATATTCCTCACAGTGATCGGCAGTAAGAGATGATAATAGACCACATCAG